CTGACATACGTATCTGGTATATTCTTTATGAAAATGACCAAATTTGTATTTTACCACTTGGCTTCTTGTGAGCCTGAATGGAATCAGTCTCCTCAAAACCATCTAATGAATAAAATCATTTCTGAACTTGCAATAATAAGAGGAAAAAAATTAATAAAACTGACATCTCTGAGGACTTTCCACACAACCAACCAGCAACCTCCTTCTTTAATATTTTTTAATGTCACAACTCTCAAAGGTTTGAGGCAAAGAAAGGTGGGCCAGCACCTTTCCCCTGGTGGGGGATTGAACTCAGTCCTTAAAGCATTTTTTAGGGGCCTTCCCTGCTCGCGCAATGGTTGAGCGCTGGGCTGCGAGGCTGCCCGCAGCCTCTGCAGCACTGGTTCCTTCCTTGGCCCCCAGCAAGGGTCCCACAAAAAAAAAAAAAAAGCATTTCTTAGTTAACAGACTGAAACAATTTAAAGCATCTATTAGGAATATAATATGAAGAAAAGAATATAAAGAATATGAAGAAAAAGAGTTCTAAATGAGTGATTACATATTCTCCATTCAACATGCAAAATAGGTAATGATCTGCGTAAAATCAGACTATTCTTTCCTCTTCTTTGTGGACTACAAGGAGCAAAACAACAGAACACTCAAAAGTTTAACATCTGCAGGGCAAAAAGAATTTATATGGTATATATCATTGCAAGGTAATATGTCTTAGAGATGACAAAGACTATTATTCATTCATCAAAGACCACCCACACAAAGCTAAGTGCCTGGTATATATAAATGTGTGCAGGTGTGTGCATGGGTGTATGGGTGGAGGGAGATCCTGCCCCAAAAAGCATTATAGAAACACAAACTTCTCTTTTATGATATGGAATTGATATACCACTATTTTACAAATAGTAGAATTGATAATTCAGGTTCAGCTATCTGGTTCTGTGAATATCTGTTGATCATGCAACTATTAACCAAAATTTTAATTCAGTTAGCAACATGCTTTAAGTGGAATTCATACTCCTGCTACAGAATATTTTGTCTTCAGGTTTTCATCCACAATTCAAGATTTGAGTAGGATGATGGCTGATCTATCTAATCAGATCTAGCAATCCCTCCATGGTTTCCAGGCAAAAAATAGCCAATCATTTATAGATAGTTATAAGAATAGAAAACTCTTCCCTACAAAATATCAAGTAACATATTCAACTATGCGCATGTCAGGCAGGGAAGGTATCTGGTGCCCACTCATAAATGCAGCTTCCCAATACATGAAATCTCCTATTAAGTAGATAGGACAAGAGCTACCAAAGGTTTTACTGGATTATAAAAGCAATGTAAATAAGTTCACTGTACTGAATCCTAATGTATATGTATATAAACAATCACAACATCTAAGATCTCAAGACTGGAGGAATACCACCTAAAAATTCTTTCTGGGAAATGCTAGGTTTCAGTGTATTTGTTTAGGAGAGAAGCTCTGTAGAAATTATGTAATGACTTCCTAAACTACAGACCCCTGTGATCTGTTCGTCAGTTGTTCTACTAGGAGAAAGTAAAATCTATCATGTTATTGAATGTATTAACTGTTAGGCTTAGTGCTTTAGAAGGACTGTCTAATAAATCCTGACATTCTTTGTAACAAACACCATGACATTCAAAGAAAGAAATTGAAGCTGAGTAAAGTTTAAAACTTGGCCTGGGTATCTTACTCTGTTTGATATTACTGTAAATGATACTGATTTCCTAATTTCCTTTTCAGATAGTTCACAATATATAGAAACAACTGATTTCTGTATATTTTATATCCTGCAACTTTATTAAATTTATTCTATTTTTTTAAAGTCTATTTATGCATACAAGAACTGGGGTACAGTCCAGAGGTGTGGGAGGGGGGTAAAAGGATTCACCAGAGACAGAGTGGGGAACAGAACAGCCAAACTGACTGAAATACACTGCTGAGGGGAGCAGCGGGCAAGTCAGGAGAGGTCTGCTGCGCCATGTGGGTATCTCCCTGGCTGGGGATCGAACTCGTGCTGCAGTGGCTGCAGATAGCATCATAGGTTGCGTCTTAAGCCCTTGTGCCACCAGGGAGGCCCTAGTTCTATTTTTTTTTTTAAAGATTTATTTTATTTATACAAGACTGGGGTACAGGCCAGGGGGTGGGGGGGAGCGGTTGTCAGAGGATTTACCAGAGACAGAGCTGGGAGCAGAACAGGCAGACAGACCAAAAGCACTGCTGAGGGGAGCAGAATGCGAGCCAGGAGAGATCTGCTGTGCCATGTGGGTATTTCCTTGGCCTGCCAGGATCAAACCCATGCTGCAGAGGCTGCGGACAGCTTCACAGTGGTGCACTCAACCCGCTGCGCCACTGGGGAGGCCCTAAATTTATCAGTTCTAACAGTTTGTTATTGCTATAAGTCTTTAGTTTCATTTAAAAAAAAAAAAAAAAGATTTATTTATTTATTTATACAAGCACTGGGTACAGCCCAGCACTCAACCGCTGCACCACAGGGGAGGCCCCTTTAGCTTCTTATATATAAGATCATGTTGCAAACTGGGACAATTTCACTTCTTCCTTCCAATTTATATGCCTTTTCTTTCTTTCTCTTGCCTAACTTCTTGCCTGGGACTTCCAATACTATGTTGAATAAAAGGGACAAGAGGGCCTCCCAGGTGGCAGTGGCGCAGTGGTTGAATTCTGGGTTGCGAAACTGCCCATAGCCTCTGCAACACCAGTTCAATCCCCGGCCTCTGGGTGAGGGTCCCACATGGCACGCAGACCTCTCCTGCTGCCCGCTGCTCCCCTCAGCAGTGTGCTTCGTCAGTCTGCCTGTTCTGCTCTCCGCTCTGGCTCTGGTGAATTCTCTCACCCTCCCACACTTCTGACTGTACCACAGTGCTTATATAAATAAATAAATAAATTTTAAAAAAAGTGGGGGGCAAGAGTGGGCACCCTTGCCATGTTCCTGATCACAATGAGATATCATCTCATATCTGTCAGGAGAGCTATTAAAAAAAATAAACAACTGTTGGTGAGAACATCAAGAAACTGGAACCTCTGTACACTGCTAGCAGTATAAAATGGTGTGCCTGTTATGGAAACTAGAATAGTGAGTCCTCAAAATAACAGGCCTCCCTGGTGATGCAGGGGGTTGAGTGCAACGCTGTGAAGCTGTCCGCAGTCTCTGCAGAGCTGGTTCGATTCCTGGCCAGCCAGGGAGATTCCCACATGGCATGGCAGACCTCTCCTGTCTCACCACTGCTCCCCTCAGCAATGTCTTTGGTCCATCTGCCTGTTCTGTTCCCCACTCTGTGTCTGGTGAATTCTCTCACCCTCCTGCATCTCTGGCCTGTACCCCAGCTCTTGTATAAATAAATCTTTAAAAAAAAAAAAAAAAAAGAAGAAAATAACAAATAATTCAGCGATTCCACTTCTGGATATTTTTCTGAAAGTATTGGAATCACAGTCTTGAAGAGATGCTAGCTAGCATTCCCATGTTTACCAAGGCATGATTAACAGTGTCCAATATTGGGGCCTCCCTGGTGGCACAAGGGGTTAGGTCTCAAAACTGTGAAGCTATCTGGCAGCAATCTTTCTGCCCACCTGTGATTATGCAGGTGCTTCCTTTCACCAACTCTCTCCTCCGCAGGGCAGCGGCCTTCCTGCCTGCCTGCCCGTGACCTGTACCATGCCAGGACCTCTCTTCACTGACCTCTCTTAGGAGGGCAGCTCTCCTCAAGGCCGCCCTCCTGTAACCAAGCAGGCCCCCCTCAACAAACCTGTTCCTTTCGGGGCAGCTCTTCCTGCCCACCTGTGTCTATGCAAGTGTCTTTTACTCTTCTGTCCCTTTCCTGAATAAACCTGCTCTTTAAATTAAAAAAAAAAAAACTATGAAGCTATCTACAGTCACTGCAGCACCTGTTCAAGTTAGATCCCCTGCTAGCCAGGGAGCTACCCACATGGTGCAGCAGACCTCTCCAGACTCCTCCACTGCTCCCCTCAGCAGTTTATTATAGTCAATCCGCCTGTTCTGCTCCCCACTATCTCTGGGGATATCTCCCCACTATCTCCACACACACACACACACTCTACCTCTGGACCACAGTTATTGTATGCATAAATAAATAAATCTTTAAAAAAAAGTAGCCAAGCTGTGAAAATAATAATGTTCAGAGATGGCGAAGAAAAATGTGGTATATACATAGAATGAAAATAGAAAGGAATTATTAAGGCCCCAAAAGGGAAGGAAATTCTGACATACACTACAACACGGATGAAACTTAAGGACATTATGCTAAGTGAAATAAGCCAGTTACAGGAAGACAAAATAGTGCATGATTCTAAATTAAATATAATTAAAATAGTAAAATGTATAGAATTAAAGTGCAGTGGTGGTTGCCAGGGGCTGGGGGCCAGGGGGAAAGAAGTTACTCATTCACAGGCATAATGTTTCAGCTAAACAGGATGAATCAACTCTTGAGATCTGCAGAACAACACTGTCCCTACACTCAACAACACTGGATTGTACTCTTAACATCTTGCTCAGCGGGCAGGTCTCCTCTTGAGGAGTTCTTAACCTAAAAAAAATTTTTTTTAATTGATTCAAGGACTAAAACCCATTTCTGACACTCAAATCCATGCTCCGATAATCACATTAACCGCCTTGATGCCCATCAAAGGGCACCGAGGGCGCTCGCTCCCGGGGCTGTGTGACGCGGGAAATCTGGCTTAACCCCTCTGGGCTGCTGCTCACCAGCGGCGCCTCGGCCCACAGCGCGGCCACCCGCGGGGCCCACTGCAGCCCGGGCCGCGACACGACCCCCGCCCGTCAGCCGGACCCAACCGGCGCCCGCGCCGGACCTCAGCCGCCGCAGCCCCGACGTGCGATACGCGGCGGGGGAAGTCAAAAGCCCGATCCCGCTGGGTCACCGTGACCCAAAGGAAAGGCGTCAGTGTGCCCAGCCCACGGCCTCGTTTCCTAGGCAGCTGGACCAAGAACTCAGCTCACCTCCGACCCGATTCGCGGGCGGGCACCTCCCCTTCACCCTGCGCCTCAGCCGCCATCTTAGTCAGCAAAGTTCTTTCACCGCCCACCGCAGGTCCCGCCCCCCGAGACTTCGGATTGGCTGAGGTGCTTCTTCCTCTTCCATGCAATTGGGTAACATGAACTTCGTGATATTATTGGTCTGTTCAAATAAGTAACTGTCGTGGGTGGCCCCCCCAGCTAGGGCAAAAGGGGGAGGGAGGAGACCCAGCCCCGAGGCCTGCCGGGAGTTGTAGTTTCTCATTTTCATTCTGCCTTGCGAGTCCACCAGCATTTACGTTCTACCTGCGCCCAAATGTGGTTCTGATGAGGAAATCTCAGAATTACGGAATTCATGGTATGCTTTCTTGAGACCACAGTTGTTTGCTTACAGCTTTCTAGAGGTTCCCGGGTTTTCGCCTCCTGTCTGAATCATGAAATCAAAAGCCACATAACTTTGTCCCTGCCTGAACTTATTCCTCAGTGGTTGAAATAGCCATCATTATGCTAGCCCTCCCTGCCTCACAGGCTTCTGATGAAGATTAACTGAGGCAGGCAACAGATGTGAGAACACGGTAAAGTTAAAGCATTGTTGGGGTTTATTTTCTGTATTTTTTTGAAGATTTATTTATTTATGCATAAGAGCTGGGGCACAGGCCAGAGATGGGGGGTGGGATGGTGGGAGAACTCATCAGAGACAGAGTGGGGAGCAGAACAGGCAGATCTACAGAAACACTACTGAGGTCTGTTGCACCATGTGGGTATCTCCCTGGCCGGGCGGGGGATCAAACTCGTGCTGCAGTGGCTGCTGACAGCTTCATAGGTTGTGTTTTAACCCCTTGCACCACCAGGGAGGCCCAAAGTTACTTAACTTTCTGATAACATTTCCTCTCCTGGAAAATAAGGATAACGAAAATTCTAAGAAGGAGTGCTGGGAACATTGAATTAGATAACTGCTGAAAAAGCTGCTAAGCAGAACAGTGTCTGGCACCTACTAAGACTAGATAAAAGTTCAAAGTGATATGATAAATATTTGAATGCTAAACTCCTTTCTCAGAAAACACTTCTGTCTCCATTGCTATGTGATAGGGACCAAACATTATACTTATAGTTACAGTTTAATCAGTTACTCTGAAGAGGGATGTTTCTCCTCAAAAGCAATTGTTCCTCTGTGACTTATGATTAGAAGTTAGTATCATTGCTAAGTGCTATAAAAATGCACCCCAGCTAACAAGGCTGCACACCCTGTTTCTGCAAGGGTGTCATAGCTCCCCTGAAGTCATCATACTCCTTCAAAGTACTGATTGTCAACCTGGTGATAAGCAGGCTATACAGCAGGAATTCATGAAAGTTCAGAAAGTCATCTGTTTCCAACAAATGAACAAAAGGTCACAGGAATGTAGCCCCGACCCTCAAGGAATTTACAATAGACTTGGAGAGAAAAATGAACACACATATGTCACATACAACAGAAGGCAATTTAGAATTATGGAGAGTTAAATATCAGAGTAGAAAATGGATTCCTAGAAATTCATAAATGTGGAGAAGAGAAGGCCAGGATTGTCAGGGATGGTTTAAGAGCACGAGTATGAATTTACCTACTGCAAAAGACTTTGAATTTTAGAGGCAGAAGAGATGTTCTAATCTCCTAGCCTTGGGGTATGGGAGGGAGGGAAAGAAAGGAGGTGAGGGAAATAAAAGAAAGAACAAGATGGAAGAGAAAGAAGAGGATCCACCCATGATCCTGTTGACATCAAACAAAAGCAATCAGTTATTCCAACAACAAAATGGGTTTATTCCAAAACAAGCAACAGAAAGAGGGCAGACTGGAGAGTGCATTCATGGCAAGACCCACATGTTCTTCCCTGAATCCAAGGCTAACAGCCCCCTATATAATCTGAAACCCTTATATAACCCACCATTCTGTATATTAATATACACAATCCCCCACCTCAACATCATCCTCTCCACACACTGCAACAACTTCACCCTCCAACCATGCAAATGACTTGCAGACCTGCAACTGTTTTTCACTTTTGTTCTTGCTGTTCTTTTTGCATAAATTAAGACAGGATTTTTTTTAAAAAAAGATTTATTTATGCGTACAAGAACTAGGGTACAAGCCAGAGGTGTGGGGCCGGGGTAGGGGGTAGGTGAGAAGATTCACCAGAGACTGAGTGGGGAGCAGAATAGGCAGATGGACTGAAATACACTGTTGAGGGGAGTAGCTGGCAAGACAGGAGAGGTCTGCTGCGCCTTGTGGGTCAGCTCTCTGTCCAGGGATCGAACTCATTCTGCAGAGGCTGCAGATAGCTTCACAGTGCTGTGCTTAACCCCTTGAGCCACCAGGGAGGCCCAAGATATTTTGATGTCCACACCAGAAGGTATAAGTATCATGTGCACAATAAACATTTCTGAACCTGGCATTAGTGTTGCACCTGGTTAGGCATGGTACTTATTGACTATTTAAAAAAAAATAAATAATTGAATGGTTTGTTATCTTATCAAAATGTCCAACAGCCCCAGTGAAATATCATGTACTTACCTGAAATAACTATTATTTCCCTTTGTTTTTGGCAGCTAACTTTGCCAGTATTTGTTATAATCACCTTTGAAATCATCAATTTTATTTATTTTTTTTTTTAATTTTTTTTTTTATAGAGGCATGTTATTTATTTATTTATTTGTTTGTTTGTTTATACATGCACTGGGTATAGTCAGAAGCGCGGGAGGGTGAGAGAATTCACCAGAGCCAGAGCGGGGAGCAGAGCAGGCAGAAGGACCGAAGTACACTGCTGAGGGGAGCAGCGGGCGGCAGGAGAGATCTGCACGCCATGTGGGACCCTCCTCCGGTGGCCAGGGAGCAGGCGGGGATTGAACCAGCGCCGCAGAGGCCGCGGGCAGCTTCGCAACCCAGCGCTCAACCACTGTGCCACCGGGGAGGTCCGAAATCATCAATTTTAATGACTTTCTCACCGTTCTTATATAGTTTTGATGTTTTTTATTTATGTATGCATACAAGAGCTGGAGTACAGGCCAGAGGTGTGAGGGGGTGAGAGATTCACCAGAAACAAAGTGGGGAGAACAGGCAGATTGACTGAAATACACTACTGAGGGGAGCAGAGGGAGAGACACGAGAGGTCTGCTGTGCCATGTGGGTTACCTCCCTGGCAGGGAACTGAACTCGTGCTGCAGTGACTGGTGATAACTCTTGATAGTGCTTAGATTTAACCCCTTGCACCACTAGGGAGGCCCTATAGTTTTCCTTTTATATAGTTTAATTGCACAATAATATGTGAAGGCATTTTCCTCATTTAAAAAATCAAAAATACAGATAAAATGTTCCCTGTCAAGCAATACAAGAATTAGCCCCTCCTCTAAGAAGTCACCTTTTTCAGTTTGACATGTGTCTGTCTAGATCTTCTCCTATAAAGTTCATTCATTCAATAAATATTTTTTGAATGCCTGCTGTGTGCCAGGCACTGTTGTAGACCTGGAGAAGTGGGCATGAACAAAATAAAGTCCTTTCATCTTGACATTTTATTCTACTAGTAACACACATATACATAAATATGTAATTATAATTTGTAGATAAGTGGTGATATACAGCATATGTTACCCTTCTTCATGTGTCTTGAAGACTTTCCCAGGTCAGTACACATCGAGCTGTCATTACTCTTGTGAACTGCTGTGTAGTAATCCATGTTTCAGATATCCCTGGCTTGTTTAAACCATGTCCTTCAGTTGCACATTTAGCTTTCTGTCAAACTGGGTGGCAAGCACTGGGAATTGACTTTGGCTAACATAACAGAAACTGGGTTTGTTAGAAAGATAGTAGATTGAAGAACTGGCAGGAAGGAAGGGGGTGGAGGAGCCAGGAACAGCCAAGGTCACAGCAATCGGTGCCACTTGACTCTCGAACAGCCCACTAGTCCTGGGTGGCTGCAGCACTCCCTGGAGAGGGAACATCAGATTGGCTGGACCTAGGTTACAGGTTTCCCCCTTCTGCCTGGAGGATATCCTGGTTTCCCCCCCCAAAGGTCTCCTGGTGGGGAATTCTCCCCAAAGGAGAAAACAAATAAGGATAAATGTATGCTACAAATCACTTTCAATTTTCTGCTTCCTGGTGCACCTGTTTATTCTGGGCAGGGCAAAGCTTAACTCTCCAGTCTCATTCAGATACACCAAAGACTAACAGCTACATTATTCCATGTGCTGAAAAAAAAAAAAAAACTGTCTTCAGTTTCACCAAGGAGCCCTCTCAAGATTGACCACAGTCAGAGAGTCCGGGCCGGAACTCAGTGAAGAAAAGACAAACCTATTCTGCAGCTAAAATCTAACAAGTTCATGGCTGGAACCCCTGGATAAAAGCTCCAAGGGTCACTTCCTCCACCCAGAGAACAAACTGGGCAACAGCCAGGTACCTGCAAGAGGCTGGCAGAGAGCAGGACCGGATTCACAGCACTCACAGGACGATTGTGGTTGGAATTCATCTGTCGGGCCCTGGACTCAGCATTTAGGGCTAGAGAGTTGAAAAAGCCATGAATCCTAAACTCTGAGAGCTCAGACTGTAGCCAGAGGACAAGGGCCACACAGAGGAAAGGACCAAACTCTCTGAAAGCCGGATCCACCCCAAGCCACCAGTTGAGGGGTGGGGGAGGGAGGCATGGGGTGGTCCTGAACCTTGCAGAGTGAGCAGGAAACCCTGCAAACAGAGCAGATCCTTTTGAATTGGAATTTCTCTGGCACACCAATCAAAAACACCCCAGACCTCAGGTCAGGAGGCCACAGGTACTGGTGATAAGTTTCAAAGTAGTAACATCTATGTAATGTTCACAAATGAGCCAGAACATTGTGAACTCTCATGTTGGTTGTTATCGCCAAGGTCATGTGAGCTCGAGTCTGGTTGGATCCTTTTTTTTCTGCCACTATAACCTATTCTCATGAAAGTTGTTTCTCTGTAGCTGTTAGTCAGTAGGGTGAAGGTCAGGACAGGCCCAAGACTCTACCTCCCTCTCCTCTAGACAGAACCTTCAGAGGCAGCTTTGAACATTTCCCCCATTTGTAATCAGA